GCTTATCTTTCACCTCCCCTTAAAAATGTACAACTTAGGGTATAAAAGCTACAGTAAAAAATAAAGTGATGCCAGACTCTGCTGCACACCCCGGTCTATGGGTCTGGTCTCTTTCTCTCTCTCTCACCGGCGCCGTTCATCCTGAGGGTACCCCTGGATCCTGCTGGGGCTGGACCCGGGCACTGGCTCATGGTGAGTACTTAGCAATTATTTCCTGATTGAATGGAATGGAGAAATAATCGAAGATCTGGAGGAGTGACAGAGATTTGTGGGGTTCAGTTCTGTCTGTTATATTGGCCTGTGATGGAAGTTGTCCTTCCCATAGCGTTAATGGAGAGTGGTATATATATATTTTAATATTTATTTATTTTATTTTTAACGGTTGTTTGGCTGCATTGGGTCTTAGTTGCGGCATGCAGGATCTTTGATGTTTGTAGCTGCAGGTGGAATCTAGATCTCTGACGAGGGATTGAACCTAGGACCCCTGGATTGGGAGTGTGGAGTCTTAACCTCTGGACCACCAGACAAGTCCCTGGAGGTTAGTACAGACACTTTGCAGAAGCAGAGTGGGAGAATCAGGCTGTCTGGTCATTTAAAATGGATATGCTTGTTATACTTCAAGTCTACAGCTCAGATCAATGGTCTCTGTGCTCATCAGACCTTTTCTAGAAGTGACAGTTGAATATTTTTAGGTTTAGTCAAATTTTGTTATGATACACAACATACATGTATTAGCCAGATATGAATATAGACCATGGGAATTACATATGTGAAGTTTACATAAATATTTAAAAAATTTAAAAATGCAAACGCCCTGGTGGTTAAGAACCTAAGGTCACTTGGCCCCTCTGCTTCTCATTTGTCTATCTTTTTTTCTTATATTCTTGTGGGTTAATATGAGCATTTCTTATAATTCCATTTTGACTTGTTTTTTTTTGGCTGTGTTGGGTCTTCCTCGCAGCATGCAGACTTCTCTAGGTGCAGTGCCCTGGCTTCTCTAGTTGTGGCTCGTGGGCTTAGTTGACCCTTGGCATGTAGGATCTTACATGCCTGACCAAGGATTGAATCCATGTCTCCTTGCATTGGAAGGTGGATCCTTAACCACTGGGCCACTAGGGAATCCCCTATATTCTTTTTGGGTACATTTTTGTTGTTGTTCCATCACTCAGTCGTGTCTGATTCTTTTGGACACCATAGACTGCAGCACACCAGGCTTCCCTGTCCTTCACCGTCTCCTGGAGCTTGCTCAAACTCATGTCCTTTGAGTTGGTGATGCCATCCAATCATCTTGTCCTCTGTCATCCCCTTCTCCTGTCTTCAATCTTTCCCAACATCAGGATCTTTTCTAATGAATCAGTTCTTTGCATCAGGCGGCCAAAGAACTGGAGCTGCAGCTTCAGCATCAGTCCTTCTAATGACTATTCAGCATTGATTTCCTATAGGACTGACCTCCTTGCAGTCCAAGAGATTCTCAAGGGTCTTCTCCATTACTTTGGATAAAATTTGTTACCACTTGCTTCAGGTATTGTAAATGAATATGTAACTTATTATTCAATATTTTACCACTTTGACTGAAGTGCTGAAACTTTACTTCCATGTGGGTTCTTGCACCTTCTTCACTTTAAAAAATATAATTGTTTCAAGTATCGCCTCCATCTACAGTAAGCACCACATCAAATAATATAATTTTTTCTTCAGCCATAATTGATTTTTAAAACTCATGAGCAAGGTAATATATTTAGTCCTGAGAAAGGTTATATATCTACCCAGTCTATTTTTCTTTCTTTCTGAAGTTCTGAGACTTCTATTATCATTTGGAGTTTGGAGAACTTCCTTTACCCATTTTTTAACAGCTGTTCTACTGAAAAGACATTAGCTTTTCACCTAAAATTTATTTCCCTTTAATTCCTGAAGGGTAGTTTTGCTGGATATAGGATTCACAGTTGACAGTTCTTTACTCTTGGCACTTGAAAAATATGATGTCATGCTTTCTTCTCAATGGTACTAGATGAAAAACCCACAGTAATTCTATCAGTGTTTCCCTGTAGATAATGTATCATTTGTCTCAAGTGCTTTCAAGATCTTTCTTGCCTTAGTTTTCATAAGGTAATTGGTGTGTATTTCTTTGGATTTACTGTTTAGCTTCTTGAATCTGTAGGTTTAGATCTTCTGCCAAATTTGGTAAGGTTTAGTCATTATTTCTTCAAGTACCTTTTCAGCCCTGCTCTTTCTTTTTCTCCTGTTACTCTGTGATACAAATGTTAGATTTTGTGTAATTGTCCTGCAGGTTCTCTAAGGATTTGGTAGTTCTTTTTTCCTGTCAATTTTTCTTTTCTGATTTTTTTTTGATTGGGCAATTCCTATTGTTTTATCTTCAGAGTCACTTATGCTTTCCTCTGTCATATTCATCCTCCTCTTGAGTCTTTCCAGTGAGTCTTTAATATCAGTTATCATAGTTCTCAGTTTTATCATTTCCATTGTTTTATATTTTCTATTTCTTTGGTGAAATTTTCTATTTTTTCTTTAGTCTCAAGAGTATTGGTAATTGCTTGATGAAGCATTTTTATGATGGCTACTTTACATCTTCGTCAGATAATTTCAAGATCTAATTCAACTCAGTGTGGGCATCTGTTGATTGTCTTCTCATTCAAGGTGGGACTTTCCTGGTTTTTGTTATGATGTGTGATTATTTTATTATATCCTGAACAGTTTGGCTATTATGATAAAAAAAAAAAACAACTCTGGATCTTATTTAACTCTTCCATTTTAGCAGGCAGTTGCCATGTTTAGGTTTAGTATGCAGGTCCTGGCCTAGTTTTGTGTGCTGTGGTTCCAGTGACAATTTAATTTCAGAAGACTTGTAGTGTTATTCTGGTCTTTTCACTTTCCCTAGTTATGGTTGCACTTGCATCCAATTTGTTTTGGTACCACCAGTGGAAATTGAAAGAATTTCCTAGTGTCTGCATGATGCTGCTAGGTTATGGGTAGGAGACGCTGGCATGAAGCGGTGGTGGAGAGCACTTTCTTCCTGGACTGCCCAGTGCCAGCAGGGCTCCAGCTTGATCACTGCTGATGCTGCCCATGGGAGAGAAAAGCACCTACTTGGGTGCCTTCTGCTGCTGGATGAAGGCTAGGGAGCCAGTGGGTGTGGGCCACCTCCTGTAATTGGATCAGCTGAGAAATGCTGGTTTACTGTGCTGTTCCTCAAGTCCCAAGGTCCCAAGTCACATAGGCTTCTACTTCGTACCTTTCACAGACTTCTTACAAATGTCTGTTGTATTATTTCTAGAGTTTTTCTTGGCCTTATCAGAGAGGGGTAGGGAGAAATGAGCCTCTGGCAACTTGTCTGGAACCAGAAGTCACCCTTTATTATTCTAATAATTTATTGGTAGGGTTTTAAAAAATTTATGTACCCAATCATATTGCTTGTGAATGTGCTCAGTTGCCTCAGTCATTTCTGACTCTACAACCCTATGGACTGTAGCCTGCCAGGCTCCTCTGTTCATGGGATTCTCCAGGCAACAACACTGGAGTGGGTTGCCATGCCTTTCTCCACGGGATCTCCTGACCCAGGAAACAAACCTGCGACCCCTGCATCTCCTACATTGCAGGCAAGTTCTTTATGCACTGAGCCACGTGGGCTTATGAATAATGAGTTTAACTACTTTCTTTCTCATCTTTGTATCTTTCCTTTAGCCTCTCTAATACATAGTAGAAAAAAAGGCATGACTAGGGCATTCTAGTCTTGCTCCTGATCAGAAAGCAAAAGCTTTCAACATTTTGCTACTAAATGCAATGCTTGCATAGTATTTCTGTGAGTACACTGTTATTCTATTAAACAATTTCCTTTTATTTTTAGTTTTTTTTTTTACACATAAATGAATGTTTAATTTTATTAAATGATACTTCTGCATCTGTCTCAGTTATGTTAACATCCACTGTTGATCATTATCTAGACCTAGGGCTGCCAGGTCAAATATAGGACATTCAGTTAAACTTGAACTTCAGATAAAAATTAATTTTCAGGATAAGTATGTTCAGTATGGGGCTTCTGGTGGCAGGAGACCCAGGTTCAATCCCTGAGTTGGGAAGATCCCTCAGAGAAGAGAATGGCTACCCTCTCCAATATTCTTGCCTGTCGAATTCCACAGACAGAGGAGCCTGGAGGGCTAGACTCCATGGGATCAAAAAGAGTTGGACATGACTGAGCAACGAACACATACATGTTCAATATAACTCTACTATAATTTTATAAGTAGTTCCCATGAAATTTATATGCTGAATCTGGCAACCTACCTAGATTTATTATTTCATTAGGGACTTTGCAAAATGGGGATTGCTAATTTATCAGTTTTTCTTCATTTACTAGCTACTATATACAGAAACATCTGTATGCTAATATATACATACACTACTATACAGAGAACCATCCCTCATTAATTCCTTGGTTGCCCTGAGTTGCAGGTAATACAGAAAAAACAACTCAAATGCTTCAGTTTTCAGACTAAGCTCTCTCTGAAGGCAAACAAACATTGGGTGTGTGTGTCTGTGTTTAATATTATTACGAATATATAGGTTTTAAACATATTTGCTATTTCAATTTCCACCTTTGACCAGTAGGAGCCTCCTTGATTTATAGTATGACAAGATGTTCCAGGCTCATCACTGTACACTTCCTCACCAAACCCAGAAATCAGTCATTTCTCAAAGAGCTTGATTCCTACTAGTTTACCGAATTACATTTGGAGACCATAATCTGGGCACTAGACAAAGAATTATCTTTTTGTTTAAATTTTTAAAAAATTTCGGAGTTTCGTTTGTAGCAGAGCAGCTCGCTCGCTGTGATCTACTGAAAGTCAGCCCTCCACACAACGGTTTGTAGCCTCACTAGCGGCGGCGGGACCCTGGAGCCTGTTCGTTTCTATCTCTCCCGACTGGCGACCCCCTACCCCGACCCAGCGGCGTCCTCGGCTGCTGCCCTGGTCCGCGCGACAGGAGCGATGGCAGGTCTCGCGCGCACGTTCCCGGACTCGCCCGCGCCCGTGGGTCTAGGGAGGCGTCGGTCCAGCCTAAGCCGGGGCCTCGCGTCCAGCGGCGCGGTCCCACCGGAGGAAGGGCGAGGGGGAGGGGGCGGCCTTCGCGGGACCTCTGGGCCTCAGCGCCTCGCCCCCTCCCCTCCCGGCCGTGGGCCACGCCCAGGCGCTGAGGCCCGGAAAGGGGAGAAGCGGCGGGCAGAGCCGAGCGGCGACGAAACGTGCGGCTATAAGCATCCGCGCCGCGGGTCCTCTGCCACCCCTGGCGCAGGGGGAGAGGGGGCGGTCGCGGCCCTTTGATCTCGTCGGAGAAAAAAGAGAGAGAGAAAAGTGTATGAAACGTTTGCACGATTCCAAAGCCCAGGTTTTATAATGAGGTATATTCCCAGAGGTCTAGCTGCCGTCTCTGAGCCCTCTATCACGTTTCTTCTTCCGGCTTCCCGGGTGGTCAAGAATCCGCCTGCCAATGCAGGAGACACGGGTTCCATCCCTGATCCGGGAAGATCCCACATGCCACAGGACAGCTAAGCCCCTGAGCCAGCAACTATTGAGCTTGGAGAAGCACAACTACTGAACCCACACACTGCAACTACTCAAGTCTGCGCACCCTAGAGCCTGTGCTCTGCAACAAGAGAAGCCGCCCCAATGAGAAACCTGCCCACCGCAACTTGAGAATAGCCCCCGCTAGCTACAACTAGAGAAACACCTGCACAGTAATGAAGACCCAGCACAGCCAAAACTTAAAAGAAAAAGAACTGCTTAAAAAAAGATTTCTTATTTTCACCTATAAATAACTATATTTATGGGATTTTTATTCATTTCCATTGTTTCTCTTTGAAAATACACAAACATATGTACGTGTGTATTTGCATTTCCCTTCTTTCTTACACGAAAGGTAGCATGTTGCATACACCATCCTACACTTTACTATTTTGTGTAACACTTATCATGGCGATCATACCACAACAATGTGTAAAGATCTCCATTCTTTTTTAGAGTTGCATAGTACTCTGCTGTGTAAACACACCTTAAGTTTATTCAATCATTCCACTACTGATGGATATTTTGGTTTCAAGTATTTTTCTGTTACAAAAAGTACTACCATAAATACCCTTGTACTTTCATTATTTTGTATTTTTGTCACTGTACCTTTGTGATAGAACCCTAGAAATGAGAGTAAAATGAGAATTTCTGGATCAAAGGGAATATATAAGTTTGTTAGAAGTGAGATTGATATGTAAAAAGCTACATGTATGTGACTTTGCTGGAGATTACCAGATCCTCCTCCGTATGAGTGAAAGTCATTCAGTTGTTTCTGACTCTTTGTGACCCCATGAACTGTAGCCTGACAGGCTCCTCTGTCCATGGGATCCTCCAGGCAAGAATACTGGAGTGGGTTGCCATGCCCTCCTCCAGGGGATCTTCCTGACCCAGGGATCAAACCCAGGTCTCCTGCATGTAGGCAGACTCTTTAAGGTTTGTACTATTTTTCATTCCCACCAGCAATATGAGGGTGCCAATTTCCCCACAACATTACAACAAAGTATGTTGTCAATCAGATAAAGAAATTATATCTCAATGTAGTTTTATTTTGCATTTTAAGTATTATAAGAGGTCAACCATCTGCTCATTTGTTTAAGGACTTGTGTTTTCCGTGAATTCTATTCTTTTGTCTTTGTACTTCTCTCATTGTATTTTTTGCTATGCAAAAATTTATGTAGTCAAATGTTATCTTTTCTTTTACTGCTTCTACATTCTGAATCACGGTTAGCAAATTTTGCCTACTTGAAGATTATACATCAATTCATTGTTTTCTTTTAGTATATTCATAGTTTCTTCTTTTAAAATTCAGATCTCTCACTCTTTTAAAATTTATTCTTATGTATGGTATAAGGAGTAGATTCAATTTGATCTTTTTCCATATGATTATTCACTTACCCCAGTATTTATTAAAAAATCCTTCTTCCCTCCAGTGGTTTGAGATGCAACCTTTATTATATACTAAATTTCTATATGCACTTGTGTCTGCTTTCTGAATTTCCTATACTATTTTTTGGCCTATCCATTCATATGCTAATTCCTCATTATTGTAACTACAGAAGTTTTATACTATATTTAACTCTCTGGTAGTACCTACCTGTCATGGTCCTTTTTCTAAGAACTTTCCTAGCTGTGCTTGTTTATTCTTTCAAATATGTTTTTATAATCAACTTTTCTAATTTTAGATAAAAACCTGATGATAGTTTTGAGGGAGTTCTGTTGCATTTATAAATTAACTTTGAAAGAATTACTATATTATGTGAGACTTCTGTTCAAAGAAATTGGTCTTCCATTTGTTCATGTTTACTTTTCTGTCCTTTATGAGTATTTACAGTTTTCCTCATATAAGTTTTACAGGTTTCTTGCTAAGTTTCTGCTTGGGTATTTTATTATCATTACTGTTTGCTCTTGTGTGTAGGGTGTGCTCTTTTGTGACCTCTTCTAACTGGATACTGCTGAAGGCTGTTGATTTCTGTATATTAATTGTGTCTCATGCTACTTCACTAAATTCTCCTGTTGATGGTTGCTTTTCACCAATTCTTTTTATTTATTTATTTTTTACTTTGGCCACACCGTGCAGCATGCGGGATCTTAGTAACCCATGCCCTCTGCATTGGGAGTGCAGAGTCTTAAACACTTGACCTCCAGGAAAGTCCCTTCACTGATCCTCTTATAATCATATTATCATCAAATAGAGGTAGTTTCCAGTTCTCATGCCCCTCACTTAGAGGCATAAAGTTAAAGGAACTGAAGATAGAGGGCAACCTAATCAAAATACTATCCCCCTCTCCTTGTGTCAGGAGACAGGCTTCACCAATTAACCTCATTCTCTAAATCTCTGCTCCTACACATCATTTTATAATCATGTTCAATTTCTTTAAAATACATATGTACTTGCACACACATACACACACACACTTTTCTAACAATGCATTCTGCCCTAAATGAAGCCCTCTAAGTCCCCTTTCTATAGAGTCAAGTTTCTTGAAAGAGCTGTATACACTCACTGACTCAACTTTCTATAATCTTTTGCATTTATTCTTTCTACATTCTTCAGCCCTTACAGTCTATTTTTAACCCCACCACTTTACTGAGTTTATACCAGCCAAGGTTGCCAATAACCACTGTAATTAAATCCAGAGGACATCTTCCTGCTGTGGTGTGATCTCTCACAAGCACCTGCTTTTTAAAATTTTCTCCCTCTACTGGTTTCTCTGACAGCACATACTTATGTGCATGTGTGTGTGCATGCACACACACACCCCACCCTGGTTTCCATCTAACCTCTTGGGTTGCAACTTTCAAGCTCCTTATCCTCTGCCACCTCATCTTCGAGCCTGTATCACTGTTGCCACGTCTAACACTCTACACTCTTTCTAAGCCTTCTCAAACCTTTTCCTGGTTTCAGATACCACCATAAGCTGACTCATACCTTGTAATGACTCTAAATGACCTCCTGCTTTTGTTATATTTCTTATTGTAAATAAGATCCCATACAGAAGTTATCAATATTCACTATTTACCACCATATAATGGCTGAGATGTAAAGACTAAGTCACTGGTGCTAGGCCAATATAAGTACAGTGATAAGGAACATGACACAGTAGTTCTTGATAACAGGGGTACAAGTTCAGGAGAAAAACCCATGGTTCTACACCAAGAGAGGATTTTTAAAATTTTAAGAATAGCTCTTCTTTGAGTGCCAGATGGTGTATCTGTCTACTGGATACCTACTGGATATCTCAAAGTCACTTCAAACTTAGTATATCCCAAACCTCACTGTCTCGATCCACCTACCTAGGTTCTTCTCTTATTCTTAGTCTCAGTGAGCGATGCCACCATTGGCATCAGTTCTCCAGAAAACCAAGAGTGAAATGCCTGTTTAATTTTTTAAAGTTAATATACAGTGTGTGTTAGTGTTAGTAACTCAGTTGTGTCTGACTCTTTGTGACCCCGTGGACTGTAGCTTGCCCAGATCCTCTGTCCATGAACTTTTCGAGGCAAGAATACTGGAGTGAGTTGCCTCAAATTTATCTATTTATTTCCAAGTTTCTGCTGGCTCAGACAGTAAAGAAACTGCCTGCAATGCAGGAGACAGAGGTTTGATCCCGGGGTTGGGAAGATTCCCTGGAGAAGGGAACATTTAACCAATCTTTTACCCACTCATTTATCACTCCAGTTTTCTTGCCTGGAGAATTCCATGGACAGAGATCTAGTGGGCTACAGTCCATGCCGTCACAAAGTGTTGGACAAGACTGAGCTACTAACACTTTCATTTCTTTCTTCTTCTCAACTGCCATTTTACTAATGGATTCAGAGCCATTGCTCAAAGTCTTTTCCCCTTTGCACCCATATCTACACTGCAATAAGAATGATCATCCTAAACAAGTAAAATCTTGTCAAGTCATCTCCCAGCTTAAAACCCTTCAATGCTTGTCCCTTCCATTTAGGATAGATTTTAAACTCCTTAGATAATATTCAAGACTGCAAATTATGCCTCCAGCTCTTCTTTTGTATTTCAACTCATCACTCCTGGTCCCCTTATGTCTCCTACACATACTCTCACTTGCCCTGCTTTAGTCTGGAATGCCCTCCCACACTGATCTAATTCCTACTTATTCTTCAGGTCTCTTTGGCTCTAACCTCCTGGCTGAGTTAAGTGTGATCATTTTTATTCTTGTTATTCCTGTAGGAGACCCACAAATGCTTCCCTTATCTTTTCTCTTAGTAGAGTGCTTTTCAAAGTGGATCTGCAGACCCCTGCATCTCCTCAACGCTTTCAGGGGATCCCCTGGGTCAAGCTTATTTTCATAGCAAAACTAAGATGTTATTCAGATTTTGCATTATGTTAAAATCTGCAAAAACAACAGCAGGTAAAAATCCTGTCTCTTGGGAGTTCCTTGATGGTCTGGTGCTTAAGAATCCACCTTGCATGCAGGGAACGTGGGTTTGATTTCTGGTCAGAGAACTAAGATCCCATATGCCAAGGAGCAACTAAACTCTCACGCTGCAGCTACTGAGCCTGTGAGCTCCAGAGCTGGCACGTCACAACTAGAGAGTCCATGTGCCACAGTTACTGAAGCCTGGGTGCCAAAACTGCAGAGTCTATGTGCCACGGCAAAAGATAACACATGACGCAACGAAGATCCCGCGTGCTGCAACTAAGAAAAACTCCTGGCTCTTGTTGCAAATCAAGGCAGTGGCACCCAACATCCTAGAAATTACTGTATTCTACACAAGCACTCATAGCAAAAAAACAA